TAGGAAGAATTCTATCTAGTCCTTTTGAGTATGCATCCGTACAGTTGTCAGAAATGCCTGTGGTGGAACAGCCCCACTGATCCACCGGCTCCTATTTGTTTTGGCTCTCTGAGGCATCCGGGCATCAGGGGTTGTCCCGAGTCTCCATCCAGCAATGAACTCCTCTCCCAGCTATCCCGACCCTCAGAGGGGTTCTCTCTCGCTTCTCCTTCGGAAAACTGCCATCAGCTGATGAATTTCAGAATTACCCACCAAGAGGGCCAGCACTCACAGCTTCCCTTCCCTTCTCCCAATTAAAAATCCCACCTGGGACAGCTTAGTGCACTTATGCACTCCGGGGGAATTAACAATCTAGCAACCAATGCCTCCCCCCCACCCCTAGTGCCTGTTTTGAATTGTCCGTTCGAATGGTGGTGGTCTAAGTGGTACAGAGAAGAACTACCAGTATTTTTTAAAAAGTGAAGAATTTATTAAAAGGAAAAATACCACACACATACTCTGCACAGCAATGGACTGAGCAACAGATACAAAAGAAAGGTGCAAATACACGACCCACTCTCCCTCAATTCTGTACATGTCCTTGTACAGGCTCTTTAAGCATAGAAATTATAGTGATCTAAAAGCTTCCTATTACCTTAGGGTCTTTGTCCGGGCAGCCAGCTCTTTGCCTGCTCCATGTGGCAATGGCAGCTTTCAAGGTGGAGGCCAGATGTGAGAGCTCCTTCATCCAGATGGAATCAGCCAAAATGGAGCTGGGAAATGGGCATTTCTTCTGTGACAAGGGATTTTATCTCCTCTCTCTGACCTCCTGTGGGTCAAAACTCTTCCTGCGTGAAGGTCACATCTAGCCCCTTGCATTCCAAGTCTCTGTCACTTTCCAGCTGTCAAATTCCATCCAAGGTGTGAGCTGGCCATTTCACTGCCTCTGGCCAGGATGGCCATTTGCAAAGCTTTGATGCCTAGCTGCTCGCTAGAGCCCGTTGACATGATAGACAATACTTAGGAGCAATTGACTTCCCCCTTCCTGCTTATCTTCTGCTAATTAAGAAAAACTTCTGAAACCAAGCATGGATTTTTTTTGCAAAGCTCAGCCTCATAATAAAATGTATTTCTCCCCAGTGTTTTAGAGAGGTCTGCTTGGCTCAGGGGCAGAGATGGATAGTGATTCCAAAACTATATTTTCAAGGGGTATTTTCTGCCTCATGTGGATCACGGATACATCTTCATTGATCCTGAGGTTAGTCTGGGGAAGCGACCCAATGTGGGCAGACTAAAAGTCTGGGGCAATTTTCTAAGTGGAGTTTTGCCACAAATAGCACTGTTTACTGTTTGTTGGATACTTCGTGCCATCTTTCAGCTGCAGGCACTGCCTCAGAGTATGTGGCCAGGTGGCCTGAAGAAATCCCTTGCAGGTTTCATCCTCATTATATTTATAACATGGAAGCAGAAAATGTATTAACAGGGCTGAATCCCTTAGCAGAGAAGTCCTTGTTTTCTTACTGTTGTATGTGTGTACTGAATTTGTCTCTAGTATGTATCCCTTAGAGGGGCTGCGTTGGCTCAAGTGGTTAAGATGCTGAACTGCAGACCGGAAGGTCGGTAGTTCAGCAGTTCGAGACCCAAGTGCTGCATGATGGATTGAGCTCCTGTCTCTTGGTCCCATCTCCTGCCAACCTAGCCGTTTGAAAGCAAGAAATTGCAAGTAGATAAATAGGTACCACTTCGGTAGGAAGGTAACAGCGTTCTGTGCGCCTCGGCGTCTAGTCATGCCGGCCACATGACCATGGAAACGTCTTCAGACAGCGCTGGCTCTTCGGCTTGAAAACGGAGATGAGCACCACATCCCTAGAGTTGGATTCGATGTGTGTACTGAATTTGTCTCTAGTATATATCCCTTAGATATATACTAGAGACAAATTCAGTACACACGGAGATGAGCACCACATTCCTAGAGTTGGATTTGACTGGCTTTTGAGCAAGGGAAACCTTTACCTATGTATCCCTTAGTTTTCAAGGTCTAAGGATGGCTGTTAAGGATAGGATGGAGGACGTTAATTCCTGGGGTAGCTATAAGTCGGAAAGTACTTGAATGCATTTACCACACACACATATCTGTCTTGTTTGCCAACGTATTGGGAAGTGGATCTTATCACTTTGCTAGCATGTGTTGTACTTTGAACTGTGAAAATAAGAGGTCTGTAATGTTGTAATGATGACTACCCTCACATGAACACGGCACTTTACCGCCTGCCATTCCACTGCCCTCGTTATCAATGTTTAGACTGTAGGTTTGATAGGCCAAGGACCTACACTTTTACCTTCTTTGAACTCCATGTTCATAATGCCTACACGTGCTTTCCGAGTTTCAGGGAAACCTATATATCGAAATGAATATCTCAACGGATGTTCTTTGGCTCGGTGTGAAATCCAGACCTCAGAGCAGCTGAATGTTTACTATGTTACTGTGAACACCTTAAGCAACTGAGGAGGGCCCTACTGGGTCAGACTGAAGTCCGTCTAGGCCGCCTTTCTGCTCCCGACAACGGCAGCAGCCAAGTGTCCCTGAGAGCCATTTGCCCTGGTGTCTTGTCACCAGAGGTAACTGCCTTTGTACACTTTGTTCTTAAAAATTACTGACATTGATAGATTTAGCTGCAGAGACGTCGGCCTTGTTCACTAAAATGGAAACCAAAGGGGTTCGTTCCCCCTTGCCTATCACTGGAAGAGTATCACACCCGGGACAACACCTGCAGCTCTTTCTTTCAGCAGCCACCTGAAGGTCTCCAGCAATGTCTGGATATCTAGCCGCCCCCTAGCCTCAAAGCCAACACAGCAAAGGTAAAAATTTCCCTTGCTCAAAAGCCAGTCAAATCCGACTCTAGTGGTGTGGTGCTCACTCCGACAGGTGGCACTCGGGTCTCGAACTGCTGAACTACCGACCTTCCGGTCTGCAGCTCAGCAACCTAACCACTAGAGCCACCGCAGCCCCTCTAACACAGCAAGGTAAAGGTAAAGGTTCCCTTGCTCGAAAACCAGTCGAGTCCGACTCTAGGGTTGCGGTGCTCACTCCGTCAGGCGGCACTCGGCTCTCGAACTGCTGAACTACCGACCTTCCGGTCTGCAGCTCAGCATCTTAACCACTAGAGCCACCGCAGCCCCTCTAACACAGCAAGGTAAAGGTAAAGGTTCCCTTGCTCGAAAGCCAGTCGAGGCCGACACTAGGGTTGCGGTGCTCATCTCCGTTTCAGTGTCGAAGAGCCAGCGCTGTCCGAAGACGTTTCCGTGGTCATGTGGCTGGCATGACTAAACGCCAAGGCGCACGGAACTCTGTTACCTTCCCACCGAAGTGGTCCCTATTTATCTACTTGCAATTTCTTGCTTTCGAACGGCTAGGTTGGCAGGAGAACACAGCAAAGGGACCCTTCTTTAAACTTACCTTGTAGGAGAGAAGGCGAGCGTGTCTCGGCTGGCGCAGCAGCCTCCTGACAAGCCCCGTAACTTTCTAGAGACTTAGTTCCTCTTGCCACTTCCTACCAGAGGAAAGGTGCTGGCCAATGAGGAAAGCAACGCCCACTTTGCAGGGTGGCGTTTCGGCTCCCACCCCTTCAGGAGCACCCTTGAGCCCCAGGACCTAAGGAGGAGAACTAGTTTGTCTGCTCTCCCAGTCGGTAACTGGCAGCAGTTTCAAAGAGCTCATTCTCCAGGACAGCTATTCCATCTGCCAGGCGCCGGCACTGCTGCTCTCTGGAACTCGGCCCTGCTGACCTTTCGTTGACTGGAGAAGGACACCAGCACATGGAACAGTAAGTGGTGTCTTTCCAGGTGCCGGCAGCACACACATCGGAAGAAGCTTTGCATCCTCAGGATTTTTCAGGGGAGCGTGAAAACTACTTTTCTTTTTTTGCTGGAGAAAATGAGGCTCCTCCCTATGTCAGAGGAGCAGGCTGCAAATTCCATGCCGTGGCAGAGAAAACAAGAGCAGAGTCTTGTCGCTGAAGTGCGCCTGCATGTGCATTCCAAGCCTAGGGGCGGGAGGGTTGCTTCCTTCCCCTTTCCACTGTGTTTTGTCAGCCATGTGAGTGCAAGCGCGCTGTGGAGGGTCGTCTTGGACCGCCTCCTTCTGAACTGGGATCTTGGATCCTAGCCTAAGGCACTGGGCAGAACCTCTCTCTTCCGTTTCCCACACAAGCGCTCGTGCGAGTCGTTCGAACGGACACAGGGAGCGGCTCCATCTTTCTGTGTTATACCTCTGAGGATGCCAGTCACAGCTGCTGGCGAAACATCGGGCCCTACAGTGCCAAGACCACGGCCATACAGCCCGGAAGATCTACAACGACTAAAGTCCGATCTTTCCTTTCTGTTGGAGCTTTCCTGTAGCAAACGCCATGGAACCCAGGCTCCTCCAGAATACCTGGAGACCTTGGAGAAGGTGCGGGTGGCTAAACTGCTTCTGATTGGCAGAGGTGGGATCCTTCGGATCAGTCACAGACACATGAAAATGGCAAGGGAAGGCGTTATGCAAAGCTGGAGGTGAAGTTCCTTCTTTCCCGTCGTTTCCCCTGTTCAGTGCTGAGTCAGGGTCTTGCAAACGTGTGTTGTTGTTGTTTTTTTTTAAAAAAATCCTTATTCAGTCATGCTGTTGCCCCCTCTAACTCTGGTCTGTCCAATCCAACCGGGTAACTGTTCTCTGCCGTCTTTTCCCAGCCAGCCCGGATACTTTTTAAAAACTGGAGATAGAGCTCAGAGGCAAACCAGCTGACGCGCACTCTGATTTTTCTTGCTTGGCATCCCGTCAGCCGTGTTGTTGTTTTTTTTAAAAAAAAAATCCTTATTCCGTCATGCTGTTGCCCCCTCTAACTCTGGCCTGTCCAATCCAACCTGGTAACTGTTCTCTGCCGTCCTTTCCCAGCCTGGATACTTTTAAAAACTGGAGATAGAGCACACTCTGATTTTTCTTGCTTGGCATCCCGTCAACCGCAATGGCATGTTCTTTCTTGCAGGCGCAAACTCGAGCAGGCACTTCAGACAAGCGACTTCCCGACTTCAGACCTGAAGTGGAGGAGTCTGATGAACGAATAGATGCTGGTCTTCTGTAGGAATGCACCAGGGGTCCTTGTAAACTTTGCTCTCTCTCCCTTCTCCCGCTCTCATTTGGACAGATAAATGCACCAGGGAAGAAAAGCACGCAACCATTGCAAGAGGCCATGGAGACGATCCACTCCACCACCGTGCCAACCACCACGAGCGGCTGGAACGCATTTCCCCAACAGACCTTGCAGTCTGTGGATATCATCGTCTTGGTTCTGTACTTCATGTTTGTTTTGGCGGTTGGACTGTGGGTGAGAGAGAAATCTTATTCTGTCATCTGTGTCTATTACCCGGGGACGGTCAGGGCTATAGTGGATATGACGGTCCCCGTGGGACGTTGGTCCATGGAAGCAAGTGCAGCAAAAGGTGCTTTATATGAATCAAGAAAAAATGACTGTGGGCTGCAGTGTGTTTCTTAGGGAGGAGTGGTGAAAATTCACGTTTTAGAATCATAGAATCACAGAGGGGGAAGGGGTCCTGCAGGCCCTCTAGTCCAACCCCCTGCTCAATGCAGGATCAGCCTAGAGCAGTGATGGCGAACCTTTTAGAGACCGAGTGCCCAAACTGCGACCCAAAACCCACTTATTGATCGCAAAGTGCCAACACGGCAATTTAACCTGAATACGGAGGTTTTACTTTAGAAAAAACAACTCATACATTAACTTAAGATGATCCAAACAAAGTAAGGAAAGCAATCCCAAATGCTTTCACTGACTTAAAATTATTTGGCAGAGAATTCGACACTTCAATGGTGGTCTGGGCCTGGCTGGGGCGATGGCACGCGTGCCCACAGAGAGGGCTCTGAGTGCCACCTCTGGCACCTGTGCCATAGGTTCGCCACCACTGGCCTAGAGCATCCCTGATAAGTGTTTGTCCAGCTGCCGCTTCAAGACTGCCAGGGAGGGGAAGCTCACCACCTCTCTCAGCAGCCGATTCCACTGTTGAACAACTCTTGCTGTAAAAAAAGTTTCCCCTAAGATCCATCCGGTTACCTTCCCGCCCTTAATTTAAACACATTCTTGCCAGTCCTCTCCTCTGCTGCCCACAGGAACAGCTCCCTGCCCTCCTCCAAGTGACAGCCCCTTTCAGATATTTAAAGAGAGCCACTGCTCTGAGACACCTTTGGGTAGTGAAGGGCGGGGTATAAATCCAAATCCAATCTCTTCTTCTTCTTCTTCTTCTTGGTCTCCAGGATTAATGCAAGACCTCCTGGGGGTGTACAACACTCACCTCGCTGTACTTTTAATATTGCTGTACTTTTACTATTCGCTATGTAACACTTAGTTCAAATGAACAAGTACACTGGCAGATGCCTTAATTTCAAACCGCTGCTTCTTCACCCAGGGGTTTACAGCTGCACAGTGGGGTTGCCAACCTCCCGGTGGTGCCTGGAGATTGCCCCAAGTCACAACTGGTCTCCAGCTCCCCTGGAGAAAATGACTCCTTTGGAGGGTGGGCCCTCTGGCACCAGGCTTTCAATTAGGGTGCCACATTTATTTATTTATTTATTGATTGATTGATTTATATCCCGCCCTCCCTACAGCTCAGGGCGGCTAACATACGGCAAAAGCCGCATTAAATAGATAAAATACAATAAAACAAAACCACATTAAAACACACAATAAAACCCTACAATATTTAAAGTGCTCTAGTCTTCCTACATATAAATCACCCAAGACGGGATCAGTGAACCCAGTGCGGCGGCCAGCTGTCTCTAGCGCGGTCTCCAGTAGCGCTGTTCTATGCGCATTCTGCCAGGCGATAGTTGCCCTATATGATGGAAAAAACAGTAGGACAATGCCACAATGGTGGAACGTCATGGCCCTGGCCCTAACACCAACATCACCACCAAACCTGATGACCAGCAGCCGGGCAGGAGCCTGGACTAGGGGGTAGGCGACCATTCAAATGCTGAGCGAACACAGCCATCCGTCATTACATCTATGTTCTGAGTAGTTATGGTTTTATATACGGTGATTTTAACTTCACTGTGTTCTTAGCATATTTCGGAGTTTTAATGTATGCCTCTGTATGTATGTTCTGTAAGCTGCCCTGAGCCTGCTACGGCGGGGAGGGCGGGAATTTTTTAAAAAATAAATAAATAATACCCCACTGAGGACCCTTACCGCCACAAACCCTCGTCTTCCCAGGTTCCACCCCCCAAAATCTCTAGGAATTTTCTAACCTACGGTAGGCAATCCTATTGCACAGTCATCCCCTTTTAGGTGGCCATTGATTAAAATGAAGGAATGAGGTCGCAGGCCCTTCCGACGGACTCTCTCTGGCCAAGAGGTAGGGAGGCCAGCCTCCAGGTGGGGCCTGGGGACCCCCTGGAATGGCAACTCATCTCCAGACGACAGAGATCAGTTCCCCTGGAGAAAAGGGATGCTTTGGAGGGTGGGCTCTATGGCATTGTATCTCACTCTCCATCCCCAAAATCTCCAGGAGTTTCCCAACCTGGGGGTGGCAACCCTACCCTTCCACCCACCCCCCGCCAGTGGCGGCCTGGCAACCCTACCGAGAGATCAGAGGTGCCGCCGTGAAAAGGCTCAGCGTTACTTTCCTTCCCTGATGGCCTGCCTGTGTAGCGGGAAAAACATTCCACCCCAGGATATTACGGCAAACGGCTTCTAGCAGCAACTCAGCACACCAGTCCGGCACAGACCATAGGAGGGTCTGATTCTATAGGCAATGGTCAAAAGGCCTGGATCTTGCATTTTGAGAGCTGCATGGCTCAGCCCCGGTTCACACAAAGGCACACACACCCCGGCCCCCTCTGAATGCACGCGGTAGAGACAAAAGGTAGTGGCGGAGGAAAGTGTGGTCCAGTCGCATCTGAGTTATAGCGACCCCGCAGGGTTTTCAAGGCAAGAGACACTCAGAGGTGGTTTTGTCCTTTCCTGCCTCGGCACTACGACCCTGGTATTCCTTGGAGGTCTCCCATCCAAATACTGACCTGGGCCAACCGATGTTCCCTCTAAGCTGTGGAGTCTCCTGAGCAAAAATTCTACTTTGTGAGCTGCTGGCATTAAAGTTGTGAGCGAGCCATTTGGCTCCTGCATTAATTAGTTTTCTCTGGAGCCCATCCTTCCTGAGCTGAGACAAAAGTGTGTGAGCTGGAGGATAAAAAAACGGTGAGCTAGCTCACTCTAACTCAGCTTAGAGGGAACACTGGGGCCAACCCTGCTTAGCTTTCGAGGTCTGGTTAGATCGGGCTAGCCTTGGCTGTCCAGGTCAGTGCGCAGAGCCAAACGCATTATAACATTGTTATAAATGTTAGGAAGCCTGGAATGGCAGGGCCCCCCTGAAATTCCATAGGGCTGCATTATCCGCATAGAGCTGTGCTCCTGCATAGGGTTCCCAGCTCAGGTTTGGGAAGTACATGGAGATTTGCGGAGGGGGGTGGGTGGAGCCGGGTGAGGGCAAGGTTTGGGGAGGGGAGGGGCCTCAGCAGGCCATAATGGCATGGAGCCCACCCTCCAAAGCAGCCATTTTTCTCTGGGGAACAGATCTTGGTCGCCTGGAGATCAATTGTAATAGCAGGGGATCCCCAGCAGTGTTCTTGTGAGCAAAAACTCTACTTTCTGAGCTACCAGTATTAAAGTTGTGAGCGAGCGATTTGGCTCCTGGATACATTAGTTTGCTCTGGGGCCCTCCTTCCTGAACTAATACAAAATTGTAACAAAATCGTAACATCCAGGCAGCTGCACCTGTGGCTGTTATTTAGGTGCCTGCCTGTCTGGCTTAGAGTCCACAGAAGTCAGAGGGAGAGGAGAGGGAGTTTTAGGGTTACCAGCCTCCAGGTGGGGTCTGGGGATCTCCCGCTTTTACAACTGATCCCCAGCCGAAAGAGATCAGCTCCCCTGGAGAAAATGGCTGCTTTGAAGGGTGGACTCTATGGCATTGTACTATGCTGAGGCCCCTCCCCTCCCCAAACCACGCCCTCTCCTGGCTCCACCCCCAAAGTATCCAGGTATTTTCCAACCCAGACTTGGCAACCCTAGGGAGTTTATCAGCAAATGGATAACTGAAAGGGAGGTTTACCCCTCGGCAGGGTCATAGAGAACTCGTCACTGAAGAGGACCGCCCTGACAGGCCTGCCTTTCCAAAGTCCTGCTGCCGGCTTGTATTTGATTTGGTTCCACATAAGCAGGGACTCTGGTTTGCCTGAGCAACTGTATTCGCTGGTGCCGTGCCAGCTAGGCAAAAGGGCAAACGATTTGTGGGCACAGAACAAGCACAGAGGTAGATGTTGGTGGGGTGGGCAGAGGCAATCACATTCGTTCCTCAACATGGGCACCCGCCTGGTGGCATTTTATTCACTATTTAGACTTGCTTGCTCTGCCACACTTAGAAATGCCAGCCTCCAGATGGGACCTGGGGATCCCCTGGGATTACAGTTCAGCTCCAGATAGGGTTGCCAGGTCCAGGTTGGGAAACACCTGGAGATTTCTTGGACTGTCTTGTCAAATGCTCTGGCTCTCTATCAAAGAGGGATGCTTGCTTGTATCTGTCTGAAATGTGGCAGAATCCCCCCTGGTTCACTGGGGAACAATTTCACCCAAACTGGATGGGTGAAAGCCCTATACGGCAAGGGGCCAGCATACCTTTGAGACCGCGTCTCCCCATATGAGCCCCATAGAGCACTGAGGTCCACCAATCAACATCTTTTGGTGGTCCCCGGCCCTGGCCCCTGCCTGGGGGAATGAGCTCCCGTGTGAGATCAGGGCCCTGTGGGACTTATTACTGTTCCGCAGGGCCTGCAAGACGGAGCTCTTCCACCGGGCTTTTGGCTGAGGCAGCGGACGTTCCCCCCCTTGAGCCCCCTCCATCTGTAGCCTGGGTCCTTGGGATCCTAAATGTAAAGATTTTAATAACAAAAACTGTTTGTTTTTTTAATTTTTAAAATGTTTATTAAGAGGAAGCAGGGGTCATTTCCTGCAGGAGCGCACAGGAGTGGAGCTCCGGCAGTAAAGAGCCCAGGGGGTGGGCACATGCAACAAGCCCCACCCCCTGCTCCCAGCAGCCCTCAGTCAGAGCTATGTGAGCTGTGAATCCCATAGAATTGAGTCAAGTCTGATAGAAAACATCTTCAGGAGTCTGCTGCTCTGATTTTAACATCATCAACCACTGAAGCATCTGGCTTTTATTAGAGTGGTACGGTACTTATGACTTATGTGTTGTTATGTCATTGTTATTTTACACTGTGTTTAAAATGGTTTTACTTGTTGTCATCTTTATTTAAAAAATGGTTTTAATTGTATTGCACTTTTACTTTTGGAACCCGCCCTGAGCCCGTCAAGGGGAGGGTGGGATACAAATCCAATAAAATAAAAAATAAATAAATGGGGGGGGGGAGTTAGAGCAAGAAATAGGTTGCCAAACTCCAGGTGGTGGCTGGAGATCACTCACTATTACAAACTGGTCTCTAGGCATCAGCTTCCCCTGGAGAAAATGGCCGCTTGGGAAGATGGGCCCTATGGCATTTATACCCCACTGAGTCCCTCCCTTGCCCAAACCCTGACCTCCTCAGGCCCCAGCCCCCCAAATCTCCAGGTATTTCCCAACCTGGACCTGGCAACCCTAGCAAGGAAGGTGTTTCCTTGCTGAAACCAACCGACAGGAGAAATGAACCGGACAATTCGAGCTAAGAGCGTCAGAGCAGATGTCATGGAAAACAAAGCGAGTTTAGAAAACAACAAGAACACGAGAAACACTCTTGGAGCTGGGTCACCTTGAAGTACCTTTTCAGCCCACAGCCCCTTTCCGGGTTGGTCATCTGCGCTCACAAGGGTTTCTGGGGGGGAGGGGAAACGGTTGCGCCTAGAGGCAACGAGGTACTGGGATGGGAGACCTCTTTGGAATACCAGCAGTCAGGAGGCGGGGGCAGGCTGTATCCGGCCACCTCTCTGAATTATCCTGCAGACCCCCAGTAGGGGTCAGTCACCAGAGGTCGCCATGACGTCCAGGTGCACACATACTCACACACACACACACACACACAAATACCAAAAAAAAGAAGTCTAAAAAGCAGAATCCCAAATCTTCACAGAAGACCAGTGGTTCTGTGAGCCATTCTGCAACAAGAGAGGAATGCGCTTCTTCTGCCACACACACCCTCCCTCATGGATCCACCTTGATTGCGGGCTGGGCGAAATTTCGGATCATATAGTGAGGCTTTCGTGCAGCAGGTCAGGGGAGAGCAATTCTCTCTTCCTAGCTGGCAACCCTAAACAATTACTCTCACAAGCACCCAAGGACGCCCTTGTTGGTGGGTCAAAATTAACCCACCCGGGGTGATCTGGATACCAAAGGTGCCAGGATATTCTTAAACTGGGAGCTGGGCTTGTAACCAATATTCCCTCTGAGCTGTGGAGTCCTGTGAGCAAAAATTCTACTTTGTGAGCTACTGGCATGAAAGTTACGAGCAGGTGATTTGGCTACTGCACCAAAAGACGTGTGTAAAAAGTCTAGAAACCTTAAAGCTGATGGAGATGTTCCACAGTTAATGGGGAACTTGGACAAACTTGAGATTACCCCCCCTTCCATGGCCAATGCTCCAAGATGTGGAGTTTTGTGAGCAAAAAATTGTACTTTGTGAGCTACTGGCACTAAAGTTGTGAGTGAGCGATTTGGCTGCTGCACAGATTAGTTTGCTCTGGAGCCCTCCTTCCTGAGCTAAGACAAAAAAAAGTGTGAGCCGGAGGCTAATAACCTGTGAGCTAGCTCACACTAACTCAGCCTAGAGGGAACACTGCTTGTCACCACAGTGGGAACAGAATCAGTACCCAGGTCCCCGAGGTCTTGCTGTACACCAAAGATCAGAAAAGGCTAAATGTTGCCACCAAGACAGCATCGAAAAATGGTATCCAGTGCTCTGCCAGTTGGGCAGGGTACCGCTGGAGAAGCCGTTGCTGTGTCTTCAGGGCTTTAATTTGCCACTTTTATGTTCTCACAGTCCATGTGGAAGACGAAGCGCAGTACCGTGAAGGGCTACTTCCTGGCTGGAGGGAAGATGGTGTGGTGGCCGGTGAGTATGTCTCCCCTGGATGAGAATCAGTCTTCGTGGGATATTTTGGTTCCAGTGAGGCTCCAGCCTTACCCCCTCGTCGACATGGGTATAAGCAGGGGTCATTTCCTGCAGGAGCGCACAGGAGCTGAGCTCCAGCGGTAAAGAGCCCAGGGGGTGGGCACATGAGACAAGCCCCGCTCCCTGCTCCCAGCAGCCCTCAGTCAGAGCAAGAAGCATCCAGGAAAGCTGCAGAGCCCCCCACGCCAGCCCCCAAGTCCAAAACAGTCCAGTGGCACCTTTAAGACTAAGTTTTATTCAGGTACAAGCTCTCCCTCCTCTGCGGGGATAGATCTGCACGTCCCCCCCCCCAATAGCTAGCAATCCAAAACAGTCCAGTGGAGACTGAGAAGTGGGTGTTGCCTTCTGACACACTTCCGGTGATGTCAGGGCGTGTGGTATATGCAAATGAGTTGTGCTGATGAGATATGCTAATGAGCTCCTGCACCTCTTTTTCTACGAAATGACCCCTGGGTATAAGTTCCCCTGGCACGACTCGAAAGGCTCTTTTGCAGAGATGAGCAACACAGACTGGACTCAAGGTTGCTGCCTGTCTTGAGTTGTCCCCCAGACACTTCTGTGCCTGTTCTTTGGATCTGAATGCTGAAAATCAGAGCTGACCCTCCTCCTGCTCAGCTGTCTTCAGGCATGTGCCTGCGTGTGCCAGCGTGCGTGGAATCTGGATTGCGCACTTAGGTTTGGTTTCCCCCTGATCCGCTCTAGTCTGCTTTAGAAATGAAAAAGCTACATGTCCTCTTTGTTGTTATTGTTCAGTCGCACAGTCGAGTCCGACTCTTTGCGACCCCATGGACCAGATCATGCCAGGCCCTCCTGTCTTCTGCCGTCCTCTGAAGTTGGCTCAATTTCATGTTCGTTGCATCTATGACACTGTCTAACCATCTCATCCTTTGCCGTCCCCGTCTTCTTTGACCTTCAATCTTTCCCACCATCAGGGTCTTCTCCTCCAGTGAGTGCTCCCTTCTCATTGGGTGGCCAAAGTATTTGAGCTTCAGCTTCAGTGTCTGGCCTTCCAGGGAACAGTCAGGGTTGATTTCTTTGAGGATTGACTGATTTGATTTCCTTGCAGTCCAAGGGACTCTCAAGAGTCTTCTCCAGCACCACAGTTCAAAAGAATCTATTCTTCGACGCTCGGCCTTCCTTATAGTCCAACTCTCGCAGCCATACATGACTACTGGGAATACCATTGCTTTGACCATGCGGACTTTTGTTGGCAGGGTGATGTCTCTACTTTTTATCGCCATCGCTTTCCTCCCAAGGAGCAGGCATCTTTTAATTTCATGGCTGCTGTCACAGTCTGCGGTGATCTGCCAAAATACGGACAGTGTTGTGCGCTGAAATATGCCTGAATGCACACTACATATAATGTAGAACCGTGTCCATGTTAAGCGTCATCAGGTCAATTCCGAGTGATGGCGACCCTTTGAATCAATGACCTCCAAAACGTCCTCTCGTTAGTAGACTTTCTCGGGTCTTGCAAATGGAGGGCCATGGCTGCCTTAACTGGATCTTATGTTGGGTCTTCCTCTTTTCTGATGGCCTTCGACTTTTCCTAGCATTATTGTCTTTTCCGGTGACTCTCCTCTTATCTTAACATGGCCAAAGTTACGATAGCCTCAGATGAGTCATTTTGAGCTTCTAAGGAGAGTCCGGGCTTGCAGAACTAAGTCCACAGCCAGGGGGAAAGTCTCATTCAGTGCCAGAGAGTGAACTTTTCTTCCTGAACCCTGGCAGGGTTGCCACTAATCTGTTAATTAATTGCTTCCTGGTCTTGTCTCTTTCATTCTTTGTGTGTGGCAATTCTATCATTTCCTCATTTCAAAAAAGGGGGGGGAAATTGTTCTGTCACTCACCCTGTTTCACTGCGGTTCGCCCACAGAACTGAAATAGTGATACCAATTAAAAATCTACTTAGTAGCAGTAGATGAACATATCATGAGCTCACGTGCTTTCTCCCCCCCCTCCAGTTAGTGACTCAGTGTTCCCTCTAAGCTGAGTTAGTGTGAGCCAGCTTACAGTTTTTTAGCCTCTGGCTCACACATTTTTGTCTGAGCTCAGGAAGGGATGGCTCCGGAGCAAGCTCATTGATGCCGTAGCCAAATCGCTGGCTCACAACTTTCATGCAAGTAGCTCACAAGGTAGAATCTTTGCTCACAAGACTCCAGAGCTTAAAGGGAACTTTGTGTAACTGGATCTTTTGTTAAACATTTTGTGGTCCGGTTTCCTCTTTGCAGTTGTCACTGTTTAAAAACAAGGAGGGGGTGGGGAGGGACTGCAGTGTAGGATACGGTTGCCAGGTTTGGATTGGGACCTCCCACTGCTGGACCTCCTGAGGGCACCTGGTATTTTCGGCCACTGTGTGAGACAGAGTGTTGGACTGGATGGGCCACTGGCCTGATCCAAAATGGCTTCTCTTATGTTCTATGAACTTAACATAGGCATGCCTTTCCTTACACTTTGTTTATTTGAGGTTTGGGGAGGGGAGGGAGCTCAGTGGGGGGTAGAATGCCATAGAGTCTACTTTCCAAAGTGGCCATTTACTCTGAGGGAACTGATCTCTGTCGCCTGGATATCAGTTGTAATCCCCGGGGATCTCCAGCTGCTACCTGGAGGTTGGCAATTCTGTAGATTGTGGGCCACGGTGGGCTAAGAAGATTCCCTGGGCCTTATGCTTCCCAGTCTTGCCACAAAGGTGCTGACAGCCCAATCGAAATGTTAATAAAATCTATTAAATTACAGCAAAACCAGACAGATATATCTCAGCCAGTCAGTTCTCTGTTGGGGCTAAACAGGTCTCCTCCAGTCATACACAGTGAAATGAGCCAGCGAGGCAACTTTCCGTGAAAAAGAAATTCCTCACTGTAAGGAGTGGCGTTCCTGCAGTCCTCACATGGAATTGCCAACTACATAGGAAGGTTCTCACATTTTAAGCAGCAGGGGGAGATGAAGTTTAAAGGCACTCTTAAGAAAATTATCCTTGTCTTGTCGTGTATCATTCATGCATAGCTGAAAAGATTACCTCCAGAAAGGGAGAGAGAGTCTAGCCGAAGTCACATTCGATTCCCAGCCACCTCAAAAGGAAGCCGGGCCCAACAAGAATCCACAAATCAAACATTCAAAATAAGAATTTAGATACCAGGGAGCTGTCTCTCTGAAAGGCAAAGCCCAGCAGTGAATCATGTTTGCTTGTTGGGCAAAACATCTTTTGTTAGGTTATCCTAGAAAAAGCTGGCCTCTTTTATAACCCTTTGTGCAGAAAGGCAGTATTGACATCCTGATAAAGGAATTAATCCTTCACACAAAGGGAGAACTTGATCAGAGGGTGGGCTTCCTAAATCAGTCCCCCCCCTCTTTCCCAGAAAATCATATTTGAGAGAAACAGAGAGAGGTTTATTTCCATGGATTTTTCCTTTGCCCCCCTCCTCCTTCACCATCCCAATTTTTGTTGTTGTTCAGTCGCACAGTCGAGTCGGACTGTTCACTACCCCATGGACCAGATCACGGCAGGCCTTCCTGTCTTCCGCCGTCCTCTGAAGTTGGCTCAATTTCATGTTCGTTGCATCTATGACACTGTCCAACCATCTCATCCTTTGCCGTCCCCGTCTTCTTTGACCTTCAATCTTTCCCAGCATCAGGGTCTTCTCCAGCAGAGAGAGCAATAAATGTGAAGCAGCGGGGGCATGTAAACAGGCTGTGGATGTCGCAGTGTTTTCAAATCAAGCATTTTTAGCACCGTATGATGCAGAATGAACAGAAAATTCACAAAGCTTTTGATTAATTGGTGTGAGTGTGTCAAGTGCTGTCAAATCATAGCCGACTTTTTAAAAGGATTTTTCAAGGCAAGAGATGTGTATTGCCACTGCCTGCCTCTGCATAGCAACCCTGGACTTCCTTGCTCGTCTCCCATCCAAGTCCTAACCAGGGCCGACCCAGCTTAGCTTCCGAGATCTGATGAGATCGGGCTAGCCTGGACCATCTAAGTCAGACAAACAGAGGTGTATTGCCACTGCCTGCCTCTGCATAGCAACCCTGGACTTCCTTGCTCGTCTCCCATCCAAGTCCTAACCAGGGCCGACCCAGCTTAGCTTCCGAGATCTGATGAGATCGGGCTAGCCTGGACCATCTAAGTCAGACAAACAGAGGTGTATTGCCACTGCCTGCCTCTGCATAGCAACCCTGGACTTCCTTGCTCGTCTCCCATCCAAGTCCTAACCAGGGCCGACCCAGCTTAGCTTCCGAGATCTGATGAGATCGGGCTAGCCTGGACCATCTAAGTCAGACAAACAGAGGTGTATTGCCACTGCCTGCCTCTGCATAGCAACCCTGGACTTCCTTGCTCGTCTCCCATCCAAGTCCTAACCAGGGCCGACCCAGCTTAGCTTCCAAGATCTGACGAGATCGGGCTAGACCGGGTCATCAAGGTCAGGACATTGCAGAGACTAACAACATTTATTCCATGAAGCACACACCCATAGGGCCCATGAATTTATATTAAAGGCTACGAGCAACACACAAAAAACCCCAATGTGACTTCCGGTAGTTGCTAGCTGTAGCAGCCAGCGTCTTGGATTAGGATCTGGGAGGCCTGGTCCATAACCCTTTCTCAGCCCAGGAGCTCAATGGGTGAACTTGGGCCAATTGCTGACTCTCAGCCCTAACCAACCTCACAGGGGTGTTATGAGGGTAGAAACAGGGAGCAAAGAACCACAGGTGTTTTCCCCGGCTCCTTGGAGAAAAGGCAAGATCTGATGCAATCTGTCTTGTGCCTTGGTGAGAACGGTGGGCCATAAATAAATGTAAATGTGTGTATTAGATAAATAGATTTTATGCTCTGCACCCAGAAAGTGAGCTCGCTGTTCTCTGTCTCGGCATAGGCCCTGAGCATGCCTAAGCCTGTTCACATGGGGTTCAGCTGATTTCGTGGCGTGGCTCTGCCCTTTCCTCTGACCTGCGTCCTCCTTCCTTCCTTCCTTCCTTCCTTAGGGCATGTTCTGTGTTCTGGTGCTGGCGTGGCTGTTCCTTCCCATCTACATGGCTGCTGGGGTGAGTACAAAGGCCGGAGACCCACTCGTTCCTTCTCAGATACCGGCAACCTGCTCCCAAGCCCACTTCCTCGGCAGCAACGTTTTCCGGAACTTAATGCTTAACTTGTTGACCTCAGTGGGTATTCAGCAACTGCTCTTCCTCTCGGTTTTGCCCTCTCAGGCCTGCAGAGTCCTGCTTGTCAGTTTGATCTCAGAGCCACAAGATTGGTTCACATGAAGCTGCCTTCTACTGAATTAGACCCTTAGTCCACCACAGTCAATCTACTCAGACTGGCAGCAGCTCTCCAGGGTCTCAGGCGGAGGTCTTTCACACCACCTCCTGCCTGGTCCTTTTCAACTGGAGATGCTGGAGATTGAACTTGGGACCTTCTGCATACCAAGCAGAGACTCTGCCACTGAGCCACGGCCCCTCTTTACAGCTCTCCATGGTCTCAGGCGCAGGACTTTCTGATCACCTACTGCCTGGTCCTTTTCAACTGGAGATGCTGCCGGGGATTGAACCCTTCTGCATGCCAAGCAGAGGCTCTGCCACTGAGCCACGGTCCCTCTTGACAGCTCTCCAGGGTCTCAGGCGGAGGTCTTTCCCATCACCGCCTGCCTGGTCCTTTTTAACTGGAGATGCCGTGGATTGAACTTGGGACCTTCTGCATGCCAAGCAGAGGCTCTGCCACTGAGCCACAGCCCCTCTTAACAGCTCTCCAGGGTCTCAGGTGGATGTCTTTCCTATTACCTCCTGCCTGGCCCTTTTTAACTGGAGCTGCCGGGGATTGAACCTGGGACCTTCTGCCTGCCAAGCAGAGGCTCTACAACTTTGCTTCAGTCCTCTCTGTAGACTCTTGGTTGGTCCTACAACCCTGACCCTATTGCATTATTTATTGAACGTCCCATCGGTCAATTGCATTGTGCAATCCATCTTGAGTGAGAAAGGAGGATTATAAATAACGTAAATAGAAACAAGTAGATAAATATATGGAGATACAAGGGGGTATGCAAGTGGGGCTGCGGTGGCTCAAGTGATTAAGATGCTAAACTGCAGACTGGAAGGTCTGTAGTTCGGCAGTTCGAGACCCGAGTGCTGCAGGATGGAGTGAGCTCCCATCTCTGGCCTCAGCTCCTGCCAACCTAGGAGTTCGAAATCAAGAAATTGCAAGTAGAGAAATAGGTACCAGTTTGGTGGGAAGGTAACAGTGTTCCGTGAGCATCTGTGTTTAGTCATGCTGGCCACATGACTACAGAAACGTCTTCGGACAGCGCTGGCTCTTTGGCTTGGAAACGGAGATGAGCACCGCATCCCTAGAGTCGGATTTGACTAGCTTTTGAGCAAGGGAAACCTTTACCTTTACTGGCTTTACCGATGGAACTGGAACAGAGCAAATGTGAATGTCAAAGCTGCTCACTTGCTCTCTTCCCATTAGATTCTTCTACCCACTCTGCTTGGTGGACACTTGCTGGCTGCACAAGGAACGGCCACTGCGTGGCACTGAGCCATCTTATACTTGCCTAGAGGAGCACAAAACTGAATGAGAAAGGCCTTGATTCTCGTGCCTGTCCAAAGAGTTCTTGCGTGTCTGGCGACGTGGATGAAAAGCAAAGCTCTGCCCATCTGCCCCTGGCTAAAGCGAGGATTCAAGAGGTTATGAGAGGAAGAGGGGGTGTCCTTTGGAACAGGCATTCCAGAAAGACTGGGAACAAGGTCACTGCTGTCTCTGCCCCCAGCACAGCGATGCCCTTTGTCCTGCAGTCTCTTATCACCAACTGCGGCTACGAGCCACAGAGTCGGGAGCTGGGTGCATCTGCTCAGAGTTCTCTCTGCTGTACCTTTACCTCGCATGCTCCAGGGCTCCAAAGAGAGCAGGGCTTCAGAACAGGCCGTGGGATGGACTCAACCAATGCTCCCTCTAAGCTGTGGAGTCTTGCGAGCAAAAATCCTACTTTGTGAGCTGCTGGCATTAAAGTTATGAGCGAGCCATTTGGCGACTGCATAAATGAGTTTGCTCTGGAGCCGTCCCTTCCTGAGTGAAGACAAAAATCCGTGAGCCGGAGGCTAAAAAACTGTGAGCTAGCTCACACTAACTCAGCTTAGAGGGAACACTGGACTCAACCCTTTGTGGATCTTGTATTTCTGCAAATCATGCCCCTCGGCACCTCGCAGAACTTGCCCCCCCCAACCAATGCTCCCTCTAAGCTGTGGAGTCTTGTGAGCAAAAATTCTGCTTTGTGAGCTACTGGCGTGAAAGTTGTGAGCGAGCCATTTGGCTACTGCATAAATGCGTTTGCTCTGGAGCCATCCTGCCTGAGCTAAAACAAAAAAATCTGTGAGCCAGAGTCTAAAAAACTGTGAGCTAGCTCACACTAACTCAGCTTAGAGGGAACACTGCCCCCAACCAGTGTTCCCTCTAAGCTGAGTTAGTGTGAGCTAGCTCACAAATTTTTAGCCTCCAGCTCACACATTTTTGTCTTGGCTCAGGAAGGATGGCTCCAGAGCAAACTAGTAGCCAAATTGCTCGCTCACATCTTTAATGCCAGTAGCTCACAAAGGAGAATTTTTGCTCACAAGACTCCACAGGTTAGAGGGAGCATTGCCCCCAACATCAGCTTTATACAAGCTTTTGGTGTGTTCTTCCTCACAAAACATCTCTACCCACCCTCTCTTCTGACCAATGCTTTCTCATTTCCTTACAGGTCACGACCATGCCAGAATACTTACAGAAACGGTTTGGTGGCAAAAGGATACAGATCTTCCTAGCGATTCTCTACTTGTTTATCTATATATTCACCAAAATCTCAGTAAGTAAGGCGACGAGAGGAGACAGAACAGAATTGGCTTGGAAAGAGTAGGTCAACATAGGCTTAAATAAGTGTCGTTTCTGTCTGTTGATGTTGCTGTTATGATGTGACAGATGTACAATGACAGACCAAAGAGATGGACGGAGAGGGAAATTGAAAGAATCCCGATGGAGCCCATTCTCCCTGCACATAGACAGGTTTAGTTGCTGCCCCTAGTTGACGGTCCTTTAAGAATCCGTTAAGAACATAAGAGAAGCCAATGTTGGATCAGGCCAATGGCCCATCCAGTCCAACACTCTGTCACACAGTGGCCAAAAATACCCGGTGCCATCAGGAGGTCCAGCAGTGGGGCCAGAACACTAGAAGCCCTCCCACTGTTGCCCCCCCCAAGCACCAAGAATACAGAGCATCCCTTGCCCCAGACTGAGAGTTCCTATCCAGACCTTGTGGCTAATAGCCACTGATGGACCTCTGCTCCATATAAGAACAGAAGAGACGCCCATGTTGGATCAGGCCAATGGCCCATCCAGTCCAACATTCTGTTGCCCCCCACCCCAAGCACCAAGAATACAGAGCATGCCTTGCCCCAGACTGAGAGTTCCTATCCAGACCTTGTGGCTAATAGCCACTGATGGACCTCTGCTCCATATAAGAACAGAAGAGACGCCCATGTTGGATCAGGCCAATGGCCCATCCAGTCCAACATTCTGTTGCCCCCCACCCCAAGCACCAAGAATACAGAGCAGCCCTTGCCCCAGCCGGAGAGTTCCTATCTATACCTTGTGGCTAATAGCCACTGGTGGACCTCTGCTCCATATTATTTATTTATTTATTTATTTGATTTTTACCCCGCCCTCCCCGCCAAAGCAGGCTCAGGGTGGCTTATAGAGGAAACAATAGATAAAACAACAATATCAATATCAATATCAAATACACAGGGATTATTAAAACCGTTAACATGACGATGGCGGTATAGCTATAGTCAAGTATATGCTCATATGCTTATCATATGCTTATCTAACTCCCTCTTGAAGCCGTCCATGTTTGTAGCCGCCGCCACCTCCTCCTGGGGCAGTGAATTCCATGTGCTAATCACTTTTTGTTCTGTCATTATATCCATTTGGGGCAGACAAGATCCTATTCAAAGGTGCTATTTGACCTCTTAAATATGGGAACTGTCAGGATGGAATGGGTTACCCAGGTGACTGTTCCAAAGTCAAAGCTACAAATGGGACATAAAAGGAACCTAGACAATAATGTTAGGCAAAGTTGAAGGCAGCCGGAAAAGACAGAGACTCAGCATGAGATGGATCGAGTTTAGCCCCGGCCCTCAGTTTGCAAGCCCTGCGCAAGGCTGTTAATGACAGGATGTTTGGGGGGTCATTAATTCGTAGGGTGGCCGTAAGTCGGAAGTGACTTTACGGCACTTAACACACAAATACAGAGGATTCATGGATCCAGGGCTATTTTGGGGCAGGAACGCACAGGAACGGAGTTCCGTCTAGCTCCCGAGTTGGCCACACCCAGCAGGAACTCATTAGCATAACAGGCCACACCCAGCAGTAGAAACTCATTAGGATTGGCTACATTAGGGGTGTGTGGCCTAACATGCAAAGGAGTTCCTGCAACAAAAAAAGCCCTGGGTTTTGACAACAAACAAGGTCAACAGAATAAGAAGCAAAAGGTGGGTGTGGCTGGATGACCACACTTCTGGTAACATGGGAATGCGGCCTAATATGCTAATGAGTGGTGCAATCAGGGGTGTGGCCTAATATGCTAATGAGTTCCTGCTGGACTTTTTCTACAAAAAAAGCCCTGCATGGATCCATTCTGGAAAGGCTAAAATGGGTCACAGGTCCTGTGGCAATGTTTCCACAAATATGTGCTGACCGACTCTAAGATAACCCGTGGCCGTTACCTCTAGGTGACTGGCCCCATACAGAAACCAAACTATCCAAAACAAACCCATTCTCCAGGGAGGCTAAGCATACGGACCCTGGCCCAACACCAAAGAGTGGAAACCAACAACAGTTTTCCCGGCAGGTAGCTGCAGACACGCGAGAGAGCGGGACAGCGGTCCAGGCCAAAGTAGAGAATTGCCCTACTTATTGATTTTTGCCTGTTGCCAGGTTCTCCTATTTTGGCATCCATCTGTTTGGTCTCCTCTTGTTGAATGAACATATTCTCTGGAGACAGATGAAAAAGGAAACGCCGAGCCCAGCAGAAAGTCCCGTGGGTACGGGAGACGATGGGCCTGCTTGGTTATTTTATAATCTCATTGGCCACCGAGTTTTAAAGAGTAACTTACTAAAGGTTGCCTCTAGTTGCTCATTAACAGAACCCCGGACCAACCGAGAAAGAGATGCTGGAGCCCTCTTTCTTTCTGGGCCCCTTTCTCTTCTGCAAGTTGTCATGAACATTTTGCAGCCAAGCCTGACCAGAAGCTGTTCAGAATTTGGTTCCCACCAACAGCCAGCTTATTTGCTGTCTGGCCGTGGTCTTGGCATTGTAGGACCTGATGTTTTGCCAGTAGCTGTGACTGGCATCCTCAGAGGTATAACACAGAAAGATGGAGTTCTCTCTGTGTCAAGGTGAGAAGAAAAATGGTAGGCAGGTAATTTATATCTGCTCAGGAAGGTGGGGTAGGACTGAGTCACTATCTTGTAGGAGTTCCCCAGGCTGTGAAGGAGGCGCTTTCCTGAGGAGGTTCTTTTGTATGTGGATTGTATATGGATTGATTATATGACTCAGCCCTACCCCACCTTCCTGAGCAGATATAAATTACCTGCCTACCATTTTTTCTTCTCACCTTGACACAGAGAGAACTCCATATTTCCATGTTATACCTCTGAGGATGCCAGTCACAGCTACTGGCGAAATGTCAGGTCCTACAGTGCCAAGACCACGGCCAGACAGCCCGGAAAATCTGCAACCACTAATGAACTCCGGCCGTGAAAGCCTTCGAATACATATTAGCCATCTTATTTTCTTAGTGTCATCAATTGGCTTCTTATTCTTATTGGCTTCTTAATGGTTTCTTCAGGGAGTCATTGAGATGCCAAGATGTGGCATTGAGATGCATTTTACTCCTGGGATATACTGTATGCCTGTCAGTTTTAATAGTCAGAGACTTGGCTTTTTATAACCCACTGTGGTGGCGCAGAAGATATCTTGTCCAGAACAGGGTTGATCTGCTCAGACTTTGCATGTCAAGAGGCCCAGCAGCCCCCCACCACCAGTGAATCCCTTAAATTAAAACATCCGACGATGTCCTTAGCTCTTATCCCACTTCTCAAACCACAACACAGCGAGGAGGTAAATACTGGGTCAGGCCCCTAGCCAGGATTTTGTGACTTGCGGGGCATTTTTTTTCTGGTGGGGCTGAAGTTCTCAGTGCAGGAAGAAAAGCCATTACCAGAAAGAGAAAGCTGTTACCAGGAGAGATTTCTAAATTGCAGGTTGTCAACCACTTTACATGACCGTTCTCACCCGCTGCAAGTTAACCACTTCTGCCAGCCAAAGCAACAATTCTGATAACAAGCTAGCAATTGGGAGGTGATGACTTCTATAGAGAGCCAATTTGGTGTCGTGGTTAAGTGCGCGGACTCCAATCTGGGAGAACCGGGTTTGATTCCCCACTTCTCCACTCGCAGCTGCTGGATGACCTTGGGCAAGCCATAGTTCTGGCACAGCTGTTCTTGAAAAAGAGCAGTTCCTGTCAGAGCTCTCTCAGCCCCACCTACCTCACAGGGTGGCTATTGTGGGGAGGGGAAGGAGTTTGTAAGCCGCTCTGAGACTCCCTTGGGTAGTGAAGAGCAGGGTATAAATCCAGTCTCTTCTCTTCTCTTCTTCTTCTTCTGTAGTCAAGAAGGCTAACACTTAGAGAGGAAAAGCTGTCTTAAAGGAGACCAGTTTCTTGACACAGAGTTGGGAGGGATCCTAGAGGTCACCTACTCCAACCCCCTTGCTCAGTGTGGGGATTAGTCAACTACAGCACCCCACTCTGCTTAAATGAGCACATGCCTTTTAAAAAAATGTTTTAACATTACTGGAAAAAGAATTTACAGGATAAATTCTTGTGTGGCAGAGCCTTCAGGAATGGGGGCAGAGCCCCCCCCCCCAAAAAAAGAACTACCATAGCTACGGGCCTGTACTGGGCCAGTAACTCTTCCTTGGGATGGCGGCAGCAAGGCATTTGGCCAAGAGTCCCACAACTCTCAAGGACCACCTCTCCTCTAGGGCTCCAGGTTGCCCTCCTGCTGGGCATCTACTCTAGAGCCTCTTCCTTCTCTGTCATGGCCCCCACCTCGTAGAAAGGGCTCCCTGAAGAGGAGACAGGGGCAGCATCTTAGAAGTTTTTAGGAGGGATATAAAGCCAGCGTGGTGTCATGGTTAGGAGCAGTGGACTCTAGCCAAATGCCTCGTCATCTAATTAGTGACGCGCATGAATGGATGAACGAGATTCCCACTGTCCAAAGGAAAAGAAAAAAAAAGGGCAGTGGACTCTAATTTGGAAAACTGGGTCTGATTCCCCACTCCCCCTCTGTGTTCAGCCTGCTGGGTGACCCTGGGCCAGTCACGGTTATTCTCTCTCAGGACTCTCTCACCCCCACCTGCCTCACAAGGGGCCCGTTGTGGGGAGAGGAAGGGAAGGTGGCCGCAAGCCGCTTTGAGACTCCTTAAGGCAGAGAAAGGCAGGGTATAAAAACCAACCCTTCTTCTTTGTCTCTCTATTTGCGAGTCCTTTAATGGAGAAGAAGAGAAGAAGAAGAGATTGGATTTATACCCCGCCCTTCACTACCCAAGGGAGTCGTCTCCTCCTCCTCCTCCTCCTCCTCCTTCTGCCAAGATGTGTGTATTTCTATTGATGTGGCTCTCTGTTTGTTTTTAAATTGGATGCCAGCCACTTTGAATCCCGCTGACTTGGGGGGAGGGGAGCAGCATGCAAATATTGTCGCAAACTAAATAAATAAGAGGTAGGGAGCAAACAACACGGCAGAATAGCAGAAGCAGGCCCTGGGCCAATTCTCTAGCCAAGTGGTCTGAGCAAATGTGGGGCCAGCTTGGTGAGAGGTGACCAATGACCCATAAGGGCCTGGCTCACCCCCAGTCCTCAGCAGCGTGGGAAGTAATAGATTTTAAATCCTGGGCTTACACGGCCAGCACATGTGTCCAACACTGCAGGGGCTTGGCTCGGACCTGGCTAGGGGTGACCCAGGAGGCGACGGGTGGACCTTGCTTGGGGTCGTAGAGTCCTCTGAACTGCTGCGAGGGGCAGGGAAAG